GCCTCTTCCCACCAATTGTCGAGCTATCTCTGTCGTCTGCGATTCATGAGACCACGTAGATATGCCAGAGTACATGATCCTGGATAGGTAGCTCTCGAAGGGCAGCACGGGCAATAGTGTCTGCCTCTTTGTTCCCTTGTATCCATGCGTGCCCTAGCACCCATTTGACCAATACTTTTGCCACACTTTTTAATGCACGGAAGCTGCGTACATCTTCAAGGCTAGTTGAGGACGAGCCCGTCGTTAGTGCGCTTAAAGCCTGATGGCTGTCGAGAAGCACGTTGATTTGTTGCGACCCTCCCTCTTTTCTGGGCTGTTCGTTCTCCCAGAACTCTAGTGCGGCCTCCAGAGTCTTTCTTGATCCAATTATCTCTACATCCAGCACCACTCCCCCGTACTTGATACCACTTCCTTTGCCAATGAGTTTCCCATCTTTTTTCAGGACGAAACCCCAGGCTGAGCGTCTGTGTCCTTTCGATGAGTCATCCGAGTATGCGCAAATGTTCGTTCCTGGCATGTCGCTAATCCATCTAACACAATCTTTGCGTTCCATCGGCTTTGAGCCTGATTTCCTAGGATAAACCACTGGTATCAGACTTTCAGGGGCTTCTGCTTCCGGGAGCTCTCGGTAGGCACGCTGTAATCGTGACATCTAGATTTCTGGTCTGGCTGAGGATTTGTCAGTCTTTTTGTATTTTCGGGTGCCGACATTCGGGCATACGGAAGCGCGGATCCTTAAATGGTGTCGAACATCAAGGGTCTTAAGCCTTGCCGAAAGTCGGAGACGGTTTGCCTCAAGTATGACCTTTGCCAGCGGGATTCCTCCTTTTCTGTGAAAGACTACATTTGGTGTTGTCCTCATTGCTGGAAGTGCAGCCCACAATACCATCAGGTTGGCTCTATTAATCATGCTGCAGAGGTTGGAGGTTGAGGATGTGACTTTTCCTCGCAGAGTTGGGCGTTTGGACCCTGGCCAACAGACATCAGATCCAAAAGTTGCTAGCGAGACAACGCACATATCTAATGCGCTGGCTAACGGCCCAGGTGCTGCTCCCCGAAAGGCAGAGTTGAAACGGCGCATGTGCTGAGCAACTTTTACCGCTTTACCGCTTTAACGCACCATGTAGTTACATGGTGTTTAGAATTGAGTCGCGGATCCAATTGTACGCCTAGCCATCGAATATGGTAAGCGGGCTCGATGAGATTTCCATTTATGTGAACCCCAACTGCTTCTTCTCGGCGTCGTCCTGGGAATTGGATGACTTCAGACTTTTCCGTGTCAAGGTCGACGGCATTTTTCCCTGCCAACTCGAGAAGATGGTCTACCTCTCTCTATGCAGCGCCGGCAGATTCAGCTATTGTGTGTCCAAACCCCAGAATTCCAATATCATCGGCGTAGCTAAACCTCGATCCTGGGTTGCCACTTTACATCAGCTCCGCCATGTACAGAAGGAATAGTAATGGCGAAATTGATGATCCCTGCGGGACTCCGCAGACCAGCTCTTCCTGTGTGGTGGTTCCTCCGGAGAAACGCACTTGATGCTTCCGATTTGTAAGGAATGAAGTCGTCCATTGGAGGATTGAGTCTGGCCATCCCTGAGCTTGCATGCGCCTAACCAAGGGATTGTGGAACACTGCATCGAACGCTCCTTGGACGTCTAAAGTGACGAATATCGAGACCCATCCCTGGGAGCGCGCTTCTTCGATGTCATGGACTACGCAGGAGACCAGGTCCGTTGCAGATCGCTTTTGGAGCGCACCAAATTGTTGATGGCCAACCACATCATAAGTGATTGCGAGGTGCGCCATTCGCTTGGCAAGAAGTCTTTCTAATCCTTTGCCTAGACACGAGAGTAGAGCGATTGGTCTCCAGCCTTTGATTGAAGTTGGATCCCGATTTGGCTTTTCCAATAGTACCACTTCTGCAAGTTTGAAGCAAGATGAATGGGTGCCGAGCCGTATGAAAGCTCTAAAGAGCTGCGTAACACACGATCCGATAGTCTTCCAGCAAACCTCAAGGAGCTCAACCGTGATTCCGTCTGCCCCTGGTGCTGTCTTTCCACAGCCGATGGTACATGCTCGCACTTCCTCATCTGAGATTTTACCTTTCCAAGGTATTCGATTATCGCTTGAAGTGTTGCATGGCGGAAAGTCGTCCGATTGTTGGTGGCGTGCAAGAAGGGCGTCTCGGAGAATGGTAGCTCGCTCTAACGGGTCCATGATGAACTTTCCGTTGTGATTGAGTGGCGGAGGGGCTTTGGCCTGTCTATGGTTTACCGAACGCATCAGCTTGAAGATATCGGACGGTGATGTCATTGCTTCCACTTGGTTTGTCTGGTATTCTTTCTTGAAGGCTGTGATAGTCATTCGAAGCTCCTTTGCGCAAGTGTCCCGCTGTATCGGTGTCGTTGCGGCTCGGTATTCTGCGTGTGCGGATTTGCACATAGGAGTCCACCACGGTGCAGATTTGCCGCTTTCCTTTCTGGCCCGGGTTCCTGTCGCTTTGATAGCCTCCGAGAGATGGAAGCAGATCTCTTGGGCGTACTCATCCACTTTCTCTGCTGTACTCAGATCTAAAGGTGGATTTACCCATTTCGCAATGGCCCGCGCAAACTTTGGTAGATTTTACTTAGGTACTGTGATCTTTGCCGGCACTGGGTCCCTGGTGACGGTTGCTCCAGGTACAATTCCGCGGATCAGAAGATGGTCGCTAGTCATACATTCCTATCAAACTATGGATAGTTTGGAGGCGATTAATGTCAGATATAAAGTTTAAGGAGTTAGGTTTACAAAGCTTGGAGTTAATTGTTTCGAAAAAAGGTGCTTCGCTTGGGCTGTAGTAATAAGAACTCTATCTGTTTTGACTAGAGATGTTTCGTTCCAAACCATGAGAAGCCTGGTCTATGGGGACAAGTTGGGGACACATAGAGCATTTGCCATTTTCTAGACGTACATAATCTAGATAGTATCAATAAGAGAAATGGCAGCCAGGAATTAATTGACACTTTTTACTTTTACTTCATACATTTTTCAATTGACTCATAGAGTCTAACAATTCCTCTCGACTGACCCAGGCCTGGGCTCTAGAAATATTGGTCTAGGCGAGGTCTAAGGTATTACCGGCTCTATGAGTGGGCTCTCCAATGATGAGGCAAGAGAGGTGGAAGTTTCCCGCCCACTTTTCTATCTCGTCAACTTGTCCATACGGCTAAGTAGTGCCTGGTTGCCAGGCCGCGTGCTCCGAGTTGAAGTCCTCAGCTGCGATCACCCTCGGGGACGGATTCCATTTTATCAGTGGTCGGATAGCAGTCGAGTCGTTAGGGGCTTTATACACGTTGAGGAACGTGATTTCATTGACCTTTACCCAGCAGTAATCACCAGTGGGTGTGGGACAAGGAAATAACTGCTCCGCTGATATTACGTTTTTGTTCTTTCGGGTGTATGTCACAGCCCTCGGTCGGACATGTAAACTTCTGTGCGGTGTATGACATATGTAACCTGGGTGTGATATGGTTTCTTTTGATCTTATTTTCCATCGCGGTTCTTGAATTAGCACAACATCCACGCCTAGCTCGTAAGCTCGAGAGAGCGCGATTTTGTGAGTTGGGCCTCTCCTGCCTATATTGATTGACATAAAAGTTAGTGTAGGAGGGGGGCGGGAAGGGGCCCGTAGGGCGCCCCTCACAAAGCTTCTTCAGGGTTCAAGGCTCCAAAGCCTGAACCCTCAGTCATTGCTGTATCTGTCGACAATATGTCCTTAACAGCAGCTGGAGAAGTTGGTCGTGTCGATCTGGCACCAGCTGTAGCAGCTTCGCCTGAGTTATTTTTTGCGGGTGTCTGTGCATTTTGCTTTTGGAGACCAGCACGGGTAATAGTGGCCCAAGTGCTTCTGGACGGGGGCGATGCAACCGCAGTCGCGACGGTTTGTTGAACGGCCACTGGTGTGACGGTGGCAGGCTGTGTCACGACTGTTGATCGATGCGGGAGGACTGGTGGAGTTGTGCTTGCCCCAGAAACCACAAATTGTGCGATTGCTGCTCGCAGGTAGACTTTAATAGAGTCTACGAAATCCTTGTTTTCGCCTGTGAAAAGTGGTGTAAGGGCCGCCTTAACACTATCAATAGCCGTTGAGCAGATGGTAAATTATGCGGCTTTCTGCGTTGCCCGGCGCTCCTCTGCATCGATCAAAACACGCAGTTCCGGGGGTTATGAGTGGTAGGTTTTCGGCACCTAATGCCTTGTTGGTTCTTATTCCTGTCCCTTTTAAGGGCCTCACTTCTACCGTTCGCGGTAGTGCTGGAACCGTAGCGCGCTTTTCGGGTGCGGCGACGGTTTTACTGCAGGTATCTGCGGACTTTGGGGTTAATTCCGCGTCTTTTTGGCTGGAGGAAACACATTTCAAGTCTCAGAGAGTTTTTAACTTCTCGACTTCAGCATCCACCATCTCTACCTCAGGGACGTAGTTGTCCTTCGCTTAGAGAGCGACTGCGATGGCGTTCATGTTTTTTTCACTAATCTTGAGTCCTCTGCTCGTTAGCTTAGATTTGGCGTGATCTCGAATTGCGCCGTTCCATTCATATGGTTTGTTGACGCCATCTTTGGTGATGCCGCTGACCGCGTTTTGGTGCGTTTTACGCGTCGGAGGCATTTCAAAATGCCGCCGATGGCAAACAATTGCAATTCGATTCGTCAATCAACGGGTGAGATGGATAAATGGGTGGAAATGGGCAAATTGGGGCTTCTCGAATTGTTTGTTTATTTATTTCCTATTTTTCGTCCGTCAGGGCGCCAATCTTGGCTTAGGTCCCTACTACCCACTAAACTACCTAGAGGCATGGACGCCAGTGCTTACTGCCCTGATGGCTCCGCCATTGCTACTTCCTAACTAGGCTTTCAGGGCAATTCTCTAATTGCATGATTGTGTGAAGCGTAACACTTACACCTTTACAGCTAGTTGCCAAGGCCCTTTACTCCTTTGATGTATTACAACCGCTCTCGAGATGCTACTAATAGATCCATTCAGAAATACCGCACCATCCATCCATAATGCAAGGCTCCAAGTTGAGGCAGAGTTTAAGACCTATTTATTTCTTCACTGGGATTTCTAGGGCAGCTCCTTATGTAAAACTCAGAAAGAGAAAGCTACTTTACTACACGTAGGACCCCTTCCCAGATTCCTAGCAAAAAAATTCTTTGAGTCCCTTGAAGATGCTGGAGCTCGAGGGGATCTGTGGGTGGTTAGGTGGCACTCTAGGAAGTGCAGTGGGGCTTTGAGCTATCCGCAGCCACAATGAAGGTTAGCACCCTCGTGATTGAAATGGCGGTGGTACTCTGCAAAGTCGCCATACCTACAGAATGTAACGGCTAGTAAGCCGTTAATTATTCGGTGTCACGTGACTAAACCACATGCTGCACACATATTCGAAACTCAACATTCTGCCATAGATCAATCGGGACATCACTAGAAATTTCTAGTAACTAATAGTAGGACTACGAAACTGGTTACAGGCGCGAGGGATATTTTAGATAGTATAGTAAGTGTATAAATAGTTGAAATAGGACTCGTGTAGATAACCACATGAAATAATACACTACCTACGTATATTTGATTGCTCCGGCATTGACACTTAAACCGTGACACAGAACTAGCCGACGCTCTAGCGCGCCCTACAGCACCTAGAAGTTACAAAAGAGTCCGCTGGCTAGGGAAGTAGAGAGAGTTGAAATTATAGGGTACAGAGACAAGTCAGGTGATGGTTAATGGCAGTTACTGATGAAGGGTAGGATTGTTGAGTTTTCTATTATTTCTGTGTTGGGATACACTTTTTCGATCCTACTTGGCTCGATAATTATTACTCCCGACTCTCATTTTCAATTGGTACAACTGATTAATCACTCGTTGAAGTGAGTTGGTTTATAGTATGAGTAAATTTGAAAACTCGCGTGAGAAAGATAGGTCCGACATTAACGAGAAGTAGTCAAACATTGATAGGATCATGTTTGCTTTGATTCGGATGCGAATCTTTCTGGCTAACCCATGCACAAAAGGCATACTGAAGGATTATATGGGCACCGCCGGAAGATGGAGACTGCGTCTTTCCCTGCCAGATTGAACTGTGAAGTTCGCTTTATTTCTACGAAGGATCATTCACGTGACCTCACACTTTCATTTATGGATGCTCCTCTCGGTCATCTTCTACAACGTAGTGAATGCTGGACTTTCTGTCGACAGATTCCAGTTGCATGGACTTCGTTCAGCAATCATGACAATGAGGCGGTTTATCCGCTTCACGCAAGATCCTAGTCGGTGCCATCTGCTCCCAAAGGTTGGTGAGGAAGTAACTCACAACTACAGTTGCCCTTGAGAAGATGCTGCGACTTTTTCAATCGTTCGCCCATCTCTTCTCAGTCAATAACTTATTATCACCAGCAAACGTACCCTGGCATATCATGCAACAGCAGTTTTCACTTGGTACGTCTCTTCTCCCTCTAGATTATGTTTATCTGCCGTGAATAAATTAAAAGCGGGAGTCTGGGCGCCTAACATCGCCAGGACGCCGGTATCTCCGATTTTTTCGCTTCACCGAATCGTTCGCGCAAGCTTATGATTCTTACTTCAACCTCAATGGGGTAGAAGCTGCATTAGTGTCGGGAAAATGGAGCTTTTATGGCCTTTATCTGGCCTGTGAAAGTTTATGTCTGGTGAGCGGCTTGTTCTGAGAGGGAACACTCAGCGCATCGTAGTTCACGCTAACGTCGTCCCACAGCTTGATGCTATGCAGATTTGGGAAACGGTGTGGGCGAAGTGGGTAATCGTTGAAGGTTATAAATTTTGGTCGTTCTCCTTGGTCTGCTCAATTTCCTGGGGAGTTAGGAAGTTATGGAAATTTCTAGAGACTAGAAGTTCAGGTACCGGAAAAAAGCAAAAGCCTAGCCAAGTAAAGACAAAGATTTTAGCTGTTAGTATAAGGATAGTCATCGATGGCCTTGATTTGGTCACCCCAGGCATGGTTTTGGGATGGTTACCACTGAGTGCCAATATCCTCGGGCTCACAGCAGCGATGAGTACTATACTTTCGCTGATTTTAATTTGGAATCATATTGATTGACAACTATATAACTTGCCAACTTATTTCAAGAGATTATAGGAATTCTCTCAATTCTTTTAGATCTTGTGCGTCAACCCAGAAATTACTAGCCATAAACTTGTCATCGGCGCAATCTTCAAAAAAATTCAGAGAAGGTTTGAAATGTGGTATTGACTGGTGGAGTAGTCCTTAATATTGAGACCACAAGACATAGTGTTCCATGCGTGGATCAGGGGCACAGTGAGTACAAACATTAGATGACGCTTTGATCACAAGTCTAATCGCTGCACTCACAAATATTAGAATGGATTACAAAGGCACTCCATTTATTCCGCAAGATTCACATGTCTGGCATCTCACCGAGAACGCAATGCCAGAATATTTCCGCGCTTGTTTTTTTGTGATTGAGTGGTGCGAAGCTCAGCACCTGTCAGTGGTGTTCCCTACGAACCTTCAGCTCTCAATGTTGAGTCTACAGAGCCGAGATTGAGTAACAGCTTATCCGCTTTTGGCTGAGTAATCTCGCCATCCGTCAAAAGACACGCTTTCTATAACACATTAGACAATCAAGAGAACGGTGATGATGCCTTGGATGATGTTAGAAATTGTCAAGGATTTCTAGGAGGAAATATCTCGAAGAACAAGTGTGCAATTTCGGACAAGATATTATTGATAGTTGTATATGATATCGAACTCTCTTCTCAATATGAATTAATAATATATTATACTCCGTTATTTTAGTTTAAAATATGCAAGTAAGTATATCATTAAATACAGACCCCCGAGGCTTTAGTGATCCCAAACTCCAAGTGATCTAGCAACAACCAGCCACCTAATTATCGCAATGTAGCATTTCCAAGCCACTGCATTTCAGATACTACTGAACCTCGTTTCCCCTAGCTGAGCTTAATCGTATGCAATAGAAACAGGTAAATTGATCTTGATGATCAAACTAGAAATCTAAACCTTCATACATACGAAGTCTAGATTTCCAACAGATGAGGAAATATATTGTAGTACCAAACGCTACAATGGCAGTCAGAGAAGCCTTCGTTATATCACAACATGTGCTACCCACTGGCAGGCGAACAAAAAGCCCACGAAAGCAAAGTAAATAACCCTTCCGCCTTCTGGAAAAGCAGATTTCAACTCGTCAACAGTGTTGTCCCTTCTAACTTTCAAGCCGATTCTACTAGCCAGGAGGGCATCTGAGACACATGAGTTACTCGATAACCCCACGTCCGTTACGACTTTTGGATGCCAGGCTAGGCTCCTCAACGACAGTCACTCCTGATCAAGACTTTTCTGATATTCCTTCACGACCTTCGGTTAAGCCTGTGGCATGAATCAGGGGAGGAGTACGGAGGAGACTAGAAAGGTTGAGTGAAACTCTTAGGTATACACAAGTCGACTGCACCCGGCTGGTTAGCCTCTTCGTTATAAGAGAGCTCCATACCCAGTGGTATTTGAAGCTTTTCCCTGGGGCTACACATCTGAAAATGGCCATGATTTTGAGGGCTGGAGAGGAGAAATAATGACTGTGTAACGGCTCCTTCTAGTATGTACTCAAGCGAAGACCTGTGGGGGTATTGCTGATGGAAAGAATTCATGACGGAGGCATTGAATGGAGTAGACTACTAGAGGCATAGATACTCCCAGCCTGTGGGCAGAAAAGACCTATATGTCCTTACAATGTAATTGTTAAAATCTAGACATACCACACCGAACTGTACGCAGTAACAATTAGACGAAGACTACTCATCTTCGATCGCAACTAGCTTTGGGGGGTTTCGGTTGGTAATGATGATAATTTTACTAAGTCTCAGGCTCTAGCCCAGCGCCTTGTGGCACGAGACCGGTGGACTCGGTAGGAATCACACCTGGGGGCGCGCTATCATTCTGATTATGAGGAGGGGAATTGCATACAAATAGTGGCTTTATCAATATGTACTTGACACTATTATGAAGTAGACGATGATATGTGTTCGCTTTATTAGATTCGTTTCCTGATGATTGCTATCTATATGAAGGAGAATACTCCTATTTATACCCAAAGCTCATCTATCTAATTGCTAGTAGAATATTCCTGTTGAAAACCTAATGACTTAATGACTTTTCATGTATTATTTTATAAATGATGACTAATTATGTTGATGAGTAATGAGTTACCTGTGTAGGAATGGCGTCAGGAGAGAGAGACAACTGCTGTTTATACGTGTTTCCTTTAGTTAGAAGAGGAGATAGAAGATATATGTTAACCACCAATTGTTATTACTGCTACAGAAAGCTTGTGATATAATACCACTCGAGTATTCCGACAATTCCATTTTGTGATGTAAGACATTCTATCATATGCTAAAGGATAGTTTAAATTCATGTTCAAACCATCCACATGCAACTGTTATGATGTCACTACACCAACCACTTCTTGTAAAGATCTCTGTATCATCTAATACAGCTTGTCTAATTGGCCGAGTGATTTCACATCATAACAGCTCTACTCGATCACACTACTTATACCCCTATCTAATATCTCAAGAGGATTTAGTTACAAAAAACACAAAATGATAATATGAAAGGAACCAACCCAGTATTACTCACACTAGAGTTCCTCCACCAACACTTAATTACTGGCGTTCTAATAACTACGATCCTCGCATCCAGCTGAGGACGTGTGCGCGGATAGGCTCCTGAGGCAGCCAGTTATCCTTACAAATTTCGTGAACTTTGCGACACAGTTGAGACCATGATAATAATAATGATATTTTTATCGTGATCGGGTACTGACCCAGCATCCAGGGGACATGGCACGGGTAGTCCAGATCTATATAAGACTCTTCGCTACCTACTTGATTGGTTCATAGGAGCCAGAAATACAGAAACAAAACAAATAAAAAGAAAAAACACCATTTCTGAGGTGCTAGCGCCCTGCACTACACCTCCATCCTCGTGCCACACTGAGCGGCCCTAAGAAGCAATACAGCTGACATTCAAGTTCCCTGTTTATGATTCAATTTTGCTGTAACATTTTGTTACAGTTAGAAAGCGCCAGAATATCTGCCATCCTTCTTGCCCTATCATATCCCTTGTCGTAGGTCGTGGTTCCTTCGTTTCCGTCCTCCATTTCTGGATGGTCGGGCGACACTCTGCAAAATGCCATGGCCGTTTCTCTCGTCCGCATTTGCATCGCATTTCTTCATTCGGATGTTGAAATCGTCTGTGATAGCTAGCGAAATCACCATGCCCAGTCCTTGCCGCAATGAGGCGGTGATATACCCATCGAGGTAAAGCTAGCTCCGGAGGGCGTTTTCTTCGCATCAGTAAGTCCAGATCTTCATACCTGTCCGATCTATTTTTATGCCACCAATCTTCCGCGAGTTTCTGTACTCGTATTGTGACTTGGCGTTTAAGTGCTGCGAATGTCAGGACTTTGTCAGATTCCTCCTGAGTGCACTCTGGTCTCGGGATATTTCCTTCCCTGGTTTTTGATGCAAGGGCTGCCTTTGCAATTGCGTCGGCTTTATCGTTCCCTTCAACACCACTGTGTCCCGGAACCCAGTGGACTTCTACGGCAGGCTGAGCCTTGGATAGTTCAATAAAATTCCGGACCTCAGACTGTGAAGAGCTCGTTCTACCACTCACAAGGGCTCTTACCGCCTCTTGATTGTCGAGGAGCACCTTGATACCTATACTACCTCCAATTTCCGACGCCGCTTCTAGGCCTCGAACTGCCCCGACGATTTCTGCATCAAAGACCTCTGCTCCTGGGAGAAAATTTCCACCACTCGCTATGAGTTCTCTGTCCCTGTATATAGCATAGCCATAGGCTGAGTATGCTGGACCAGTCGATGATCCATCAGAATATACACACAGCGTCCCTACAGGGAGATTTCTAAGCCAATGATTAGTCCGCTTCGACTTTTCCTCCTTGTCGCATTTGGCTCTAGCCATAGCCCTCGCGATCATCGGTTGGTAAAGCTGTCCAGGCCCTTCTGATGCCGGTAGGTTGAGGTTACCACTCTGAAGGCGTGTCAGATATCGCTCTGGAAACTTGAAGACACGATCTTTTTGCCCCTCTCTCAGTTTGAGTCGCTTAATTGCTTCCTTTGGTGTCTCAGCTGCCCTTGACGACAAAGGGTGATAGCTGTCGAATCTGCGGATTCTGGCTGCATTTCGGAGCTGTCGCTGCTGTAGCATAATTTCTGCCGGTAGTATCCCTGACTCACGGTGCAGAACTATATTTGGTGTAGTTCGCCACACTGGCAGTGCGGCTCGAATAGCAGTCAAAATAGTTCTATCTAGTAACTTGAGGTGCCGTCCGACACCCGTACTTACTCTTTTATCTCGTACCGTCGTGATATGGGTGAGTCCAGGCCACCAAGCTTCAGCGCCATAAATTGCCGTACTGACTACACATGCGTTCACTGCACGGATTAATGGTCCCGGAGCCGCACCTCGTTGGACCCTATTAATACTTCGTATAAAGTTAGATAGTCGTTGTGCCTTATTACAACATTCTTGAACATGTTGTCTAAACGTCAGTTGGGAATCGAGCCAGACCCCGAGCCATCGAATGTACGCGGAAGGCGTAATAAGCTGTCCCTCAACCCTGACCGCGAGGTTGGATGAGTCTAGTTTCTTCTTCGGTCCTCCTCCTATAACCAGGAGCTCGGACTTAGAAGGGTCGAACCTTATCATGCGCGTTGAAGCGCGTTGGATTATCCTGTCTACTTCTACCTGGGCAGCCTCAACAGCCTCACTAGGATTTTTACCGACGCGAACAATGGCAATGTCATCTGCATATCCGAATATACAGTTTGGGGTTCCATCTTCAAGTAGGATTGAGATGTATAACATAAATAAAAGTGGCGATAGTGGTGATCCTTGGGGAACTCCGCACTCAACAAGCTTCTCATCAGTTACACCTTTTTCGTGTCTCACCAAAACTTTTCGTTGTTTCAGAAATGATTCTACCAGGCGACAGAGTAGTACTGGCCAGCCCTGACTTTGCATTCGTGCGA